GTTACAATGAATTTATGCAGGTTAGCAGACAGGCTACATACACAATTGGCACTTTTTAATATGCTTGTGTATGTTTTTAATATGTGCAATATGTAATAAGCCTTACAGAAAGCAATAATTATCATCTTCCGCAAAACTGGCATGATAAAATTGAGTCGTCTCCGATATAAATGTCGTAACAGCGTTACTTATACTGGGGTTTCTCGTGAAACGATTGAGCTCATGTAGGCTCATTTAAGGGACACTGTGCTCTGCATATCGCAGAGTGCCGACAAAATGTGCGTATCATTTAATAGCAGTATTGATACTTCTCCTCTCTTTGTAGTTCGCCAGTAACCACTTATGATGTAACGCAGCTCAAAGCGCTGCTTGAGTGAGAAGCTAGGTGGATCCGTGCGAATTCTGATTGAAATTTCTCTTTTTTTTGGGGGGGGGGGGGGGGTCAGCAGGCTCTTTAAACAATGAATGTATCGACGCAATCTCAGTGTGCCTGCATATTCACTCGTGCACTATGGCGCGTAGCAGGTGCGTTCACTGATCAAGGCTCAGAAACGCATTAAACGCGCGAAAAACGAGCAATTAGACGCTTTTGCAGGCTACGGCGCCCATGCTCCCAAAGCAGACGCTCCGGAGATCTGCAGTACCATAAGACAACAGCGCCGCCGCTACTGTCACCCAGCGGAGAATCAGCCGACATGCGGCGCGGCCGCCTCGTTCACTCCACCGCCCCCTTCTAGTACACTGTAACTGTACTACGGCAACGCTGTAAAGGGCCGCAGACGCGGCCGACTCAAGGAGGATTAAAGAAAAATTGCTGGAGTGGAAGCTCCCGCAATGCCTTGCCAGCAGAAGTGAAGCCACTTTTTGCCACTGCCAAGATGGCGGAAACATGTTTTTTTCTGATAGTGCCCACTTGAAGATCAAGTGGCTTTGAAGCTTTATGTAAATGCTACGTTAGTTCTATATTAAAAGATAGTTGTTCGCGACGAAATAACACGCAGAAACGAGTATGGATAACTGAATCTTCAAAGAACTTTGCCTCCAATTTCAGGCTCACTAAGGAAAACTAGTAACTGTAAAACGCACTTGGAGCCCTATGTGACCCGAAAAAATTCCCACATTAAACTCGTTGGGCGTGCGAGGGAAACGCTTCATTTTTATTCGCTGAACGGTGATACTTTATCATGCCCCTAGTAAGATGGCAGCCACTACCGCCATCTTGCAAGAGGAACGGCTTCACTTCTGCGCAATCATTTTCACTCCAGCAATTTTATAAATCTTCCTTGGGCCGACTATATGCAGTGGATGGACAGATTATTGGATGTATGTGGCTGCACCCTTTAGATCGGGCGGCGGCAAACGCCACCTAGCCGTAATACTTAGTGAACTAACCACTAGATTTATCTTTTTTTTTCTTTAAGTAGTAAAGTTGGACGGGTACATTGCAGTGAAGGGTTTAATTCTCACTCGTGCCTTGACTTTAGCCACCAATCAGATAACCTCCTTCTAGTTAAGTCTACCCGCTTAAAGTCTATTTTGAAGTCTATTTTGCCCTCCCTGTCCCTAAGCCCCAGTACTTTGAAAAACTCTGCGCCATCATCCTGAACTATAGGGTGAATCCCTTTACAGAACAATATCAAGTGTTTGGCAGTTTCTTCTTTTTCTCCACACGCACTGCATACTGTGTCTACCCCTTCGTATTTGGCCCGATATGTATTGGTTCGCAATATTCCCGTCCTGGCCTCAAACAGTAGAGAACTACCCCGAGTATTATCATAGATCCTTTCTTTGGCAATTTCCTGCTTAAACGTTCGATAGATCTCTAGTACGGGCTTCTTAATCATGCCAATTCTCCACATGTCAGTCTCCGTTTCCTTCACTTTCTTCCTAACCAATAGTTATTTTTGGTTTGGCCACTTGTTGTTTTCCAAGTATTTACATGTCCATTTCCTGGTTCGCTTTTGTATCGACATTCTTCATGAACAAGTAGCTCAAAACCTTCCTAGCCCAACGCTCCTCCCACATTTCTCTCAATCGCTTCCCAAATTTTATCTTGCTGCTAGCTTCCCTGCCCTCAATTTGATGTCAATCCCATATAGCCTTGCACTCCCTGATTTGGTGTATTCCCGTGAGCTCCTAAAGCAAGCCTACCTATTCCACGTGTCTTAATTTCTAATCTTGCTTGAACTTCTGATCTCATGCACAAGACCGCATTGCCGAACGTCAGCCCAGGAACCATGACCCCTCTCCATACTCCTCTCACAACATCACACCCATTGTAATTCTACAGTGCCCTATTTTTGATCACTCCTGCATTCTGTTACTTTTAGTCGTCACGTATGTTTCGTGTTCCTTTAGGTACTCGGCCCCGTTGCTTATCCATACGCCCATATATTTGCACTTACCTGTTATCTCTAGCGTGACTAAGCTCACTACCAACATTGTCATTAAAAACCATGACTGCTGATTTTTCCTTACTGAATCTAAAATCTAACCTATCTCTCTCATTACCGCAGATGTCCATCAATCTCTGCAAATCTTCCTTGTTGTCTGCCATTAGCACTATATTATCTGCGTACACTAATGCTGGTAGTGCCTGATCAATGAGTTTTCCTTGTTTGACTAATGAGAGGTTGAAGCCAAGTCCACTTCCCTCTAATTTGGCCTCTAATCCTTGTAGGTACATCATTGATAACAAGAGTGACAGTAAACACCCCTGCCTACGTCCCCGTTTCACCTCTGTGGGCTTGGATACTTGTTTTTCCAACTTTATAACTACCTTGTTACTTTTATAGATTTCCTTTAAAAGATTAGTGAGTCCATCTTACACACCTAGTGTGTCTAGTATTCCTCCTGTATACAGCGCCGCCGCTACTATGACCCACCGGAGAATCAGCCGAGATGCAGCGCGGCCTCCTCATTAATTCCACTGCCCCCGTCTAGTACAATTTACCACAAAATACGTATATCCTACCATTTGCCATTGGCTGTACACTCCATAATACTGAAGTGTGCGGTAATGCGAAACTGTTGATTTCATAGCAATGGTCACAGCCAACGCCTCCTAGATTTCCCTTGCCAGCCGGATTATTCCTTTTTCTGTGATTGGCAGTCACTTGGGAAGCGGTGGTCGTCAAAACTACGGTGGTGGCGTCACTCAAGTAGGAATGTCTTCAAATAGGTTGTTACATTTTTGGAGCTTATATGCAACAAAATTAACGTAAAATTTTTGAAAAGACTGAAACGTAGTTATTGTAACGTTTATAATAAAAATATAAAGTAAGTGAGGCTGTCATTCAACAAGCAACTTTTAAATACAAGGCATCCTCTGAAATTAGTAGCAAACGCCAAAATTGCCAATGTCAAAGGCCATGTACAATCCCTTATTCCTACGTAGGCAGCGTTGCCTTAGATGACCAGCGTTTTGTGCTCTTCCGGCAGGCGCAAGAAATCTAGGAGGCGTTGTCACAGCCAACGCCTCCTCTAGAAAGATGCCTGCCACATGAGAAAAAAAAAAAAAAAAAAACAGCTGCCACGTCCTTTCTCTTCTTCATTTTGAAATTTGTCTCGGTCGCTAGCGTCACCTGTGGCGGACGGTGCAACAACGCGACACTTTGCATAGCCTCCGAAACAGTAATGCACAGTTGCAGGTCTCGAACAACTCTCGACTGACGCGCTCCTATGGGCCGCAGATGAAAAACGCTCAACTGGTACCACCCGTCGCCATGCTAATGATGATGATGATGATCATTAAAGGCCTCCTCTTTGAATCGGGGTAACGGCATGCGCCATCTAGCCTACCTTAATAGTTCGAGTTTAAATTTTGTCCCTCAACTCGGATGTCTTTTTAATTTTGCCCAGCCGCTACTCTTGGCTGGGATGTCATTTTACCGACTTCTCTGCTTTTCCTCCACCAATACTCCAACCACTGCTTAGTAATACCTACTGCTTACCAGTTAATGCTTACATCAACCGCGAAGCCCAGCGCCTCAGGAAATGTGACCTTCCCCCTATTTCTATCCGGCTGAATCTTTTGGCATTCCATGACTATGTGGTCAATTGTTTCTTTATTTATGCCACATCCAACACATGTCTCATCCTTTGACGAATATTTGCTCCTGTACGTTGAAGTTCTCAAGCAGCCAGCCCGCGCCTCAAAGAGCAATGCACTACCTTTATTGTTGTCATAAAAGTTCTCTTTCCGGATCTCTTGTTTGCTTGCCCTGTAGATTCCCAGCGATCCCTTCTTTTCCCTCCTCTCTTTCCACATGAGCGTCTCTGTTTCCCTCACTTGCTTTTTAACTGGCCCCCTTTGCTTATTTGCCACGGTCAAGTTATATTTAGTCGCCAGCTTTCGCGTCCTCTTCCGCCATTGGGTGTCCATACTTTTCAGGTACAGGTATCTGTGCACTCTGGATGCCCAGTTCTTCTCATCTAAATGTCTAAGTCGCTCCTCAAACCGTATTTTACTTTGTGCTTCCCTCGCCTCAAATGAAGCCCAACCCATATCGCCTTGTACAGCCTCGTTTGTAGTCTTACTGTGAGCTCCCAGAGCTAACCTGCCGACTGCCTTTTGGTTAACCTCCAGCCCCGACAGGATATCTGACTTTAAGCATAATACGGCATTAGAGAATGTGAGCGCCGGCACCATTACCCCTTTCCAGATGCCTCGTACTACCTCGTACTTATTGTGTCCCCAAAGTGCTCCATGTTTCATTACTGCTGCGTTTCGTCTCCCTTTCAGTTTGAGGTGTTCTTCATGAGCATTCAGGTAGCCTTTTCCTTCATTAAGCCAGATCCCCAAGTATTTGTACTTATTTACTAATGGTATGGCTTCCTGTTGTATCCTTATTGGTGCTACATGAGCTTCTTCGTTGAACACCATGACTCCAATAATAGTGTCGGTCGCGAGCGCCACCGCGCAGAGTTTGTTTAAAACTGAAGGCAGGCCAACTCCGCTGGAAGCGCGAGCCATTCCTCAGGCATCTTTCTAGAGGAGGCGTTGTCACAGCATTCGCAAGTACGGCACTGCGTCTGGGTTGTTTCTGCACTCTCTTGGCGAGAGTCGGTCTTCGACGGGTAGAGTTTAAAGATCGCGTCAACTAAGTCTTCGCGTCGCTGAGGCCGCCGGAAAGATTGGCGACAATGATCGTCACCCTCAAGACATTACAGCAGCAGACGTTCAAAATTGAAGTTGACCCGTCGGAAACGGTGAGCCCCATTCGCTTGCTCCTCTGTCGGCGCCGCCGCATCAGCGAGGGTCCCCCTAGTGTGATATGTTACGATGCGCTTTTTTATTTTTTTTTTTCTGGTGTCTTGACAGAGTCTGTGGCCTAGGCCTAAACGGTTTGCGGCCGACGTCGTTTCTGTTTGAATCACAAGCGACGCTCGCGAAGCGTACTGCACTGCCCTCGTGTCGGACGTATCGAGCGCCTGTATCCGACCGGCACGCCGTGAAGGCGCGTTTCGCGGTCCGCCGATGGCGCGCTTCGCCACTCACGAGGCTGCTACCGCATTGCGAAATATTAACGATGAACTTACGTGCCCCTATGTGTAATCCGTGTGCGCTGCTATTCCCATCTATTGCAGCCGCCAACGCTTCCCGAAATCGGCTGACTCACGCCTCACATCGAGTTGTCGCATTGAGCAAGCGGAACGTGACTGGCGTCTTCTCGGGCCGGCTCGACAACCGGCGCGGCCGTTTTACTTGCCTAAATGTGTAGTCTACATTAAGACGTGGCTGAGCAAAAGTTTTCCGAGGGGAAAACAAAACGCTTTCGAATCTTCGGCGCCCCCGAAAAAAGATCGGGCCTTTGAAGTCCCGGCAGGGTTCTCGGAAATACTTGTTTCCGCTAGTGTCCTCCTCCTATTAAAACGGCGGCTGCTTGTGCGGCGCCGCATAAGCAGCTGGAGATACATATACACGCTTATCTACTCTCGCCTAAAACATGACATGGCTGTTTTGTTCTTCTGTATACGGTTGCGCATCTCGTGTACTGTCTAGGAAATGCAATGCGCCTTAAATTTGTGCAAGCCAGCCACGGTCATACTCACTTCACGATCTGTCACTTGTTAATACCTGGTCAAAACTACGACTGTATTATTAAAGGTTTCTTTGGTATGTGTAAAAAGTTCATGTATAAGTGTCTTGGAATCTCTTATCTCTTCTCCCACTGCTCTCTTTATTTTCGCTGTATCTTCTTTTCTCCATTTTTTTTTTCTCTCGCTGTATTGAATTTGTGTTCATGCTCTATACCGAGTGTTGTGCATTGTTTTTTTTTTGGTCTGGGCAGGGATTGGCGCATTGTAAGGCATTTAGTTGCCTTTTCGCCCCTCCCTTCCCATTAAACCATTGGATAAAGATGTATGCTTCAATGATGATGAATAAACTTCAAACGAGCTGCGATAGTGACGATGCTTGTCACGCTGGTAGTTGTTCCTTAAAAAAGCCCTTCACCAGCCTCGAAATATACAAGAAAAAAAAAATCGTGTTATTCTCACCCGGCGTTTCTCGCCTTTCTGGTGCACTTGGCGGCGCTTGAACAGTAGTATAGCTACCCTCGATTGGCCCATACTGTCTCGTGCGCTGCTTCCTTGTCTTGCATTGCTGTCGTGATTTCACTTAATTTTGTGTGTTTGCGCAAGCGGCGACAACAGCGCGTTGCCAACGAGTGCGAAATCTCGATTCGCCCAACAGTGATGACATGGTAGATGTGCTTTCAAGAACATAGTGATGATGAACAGGAAACCGCTCCTTTGTCTCTTAGCACGGAGGCCCTCTGTTATTGCACAGGCACCAAAGCTAACTGTACTTTTGGTCACTAAGTGCTTATTGACGTCATGTAGTTTGTAGACACTGTGTAAACAACTTGGCGTCGATGCTCCAGTTGTTGACAGGGACGACAATTTGCAGGGCCACCGTGCGAGGTTTATTTATGTGCCCCACTGGGCGCCACTGCCGTGTGCATGACACGCTGCGCCCTGGGGCCAGCTTTTATTCGAGGATTGGGGCGAACTGGGCTTTTTGGCTGTACATCTGAAAGGATTTCTAACGCCAGAAACAGAGACATGAGAGGAACATAGGAGCGCTCTCCACCAACAAAGGCTTATTTGATGAACACTGCACCTGTGCTCATCACAGTTTAACTTTTGTACACTACTTTCTAAGAAAGTCCAACTGTGGACGATATACAAAGCAGACGGGCGATCTCTGAATGAACGGTTCAAAGTACATGGGCAAGGTGTACGAAAAACGTCGGGTGGCGTTCATTTGGCAGTGCACTGTGGGTCTTTTGGCTGTGAACCTTTTCTTGCTCAAGGCACTGCTGTCGGCAGAAGTGTGGACTGGCTCACTCGCAAGATTATAGAGGATTGGGTTCAACTTGTGTCAACACCCGATCAGGAGTCATGCTTTCTTAGAAAATAGCTTGCACAGGTGCGATTGTGATGAGCACAGTACATGTTCGGTAAACTTGCCTTGGCAGTAGCGCCCTCGTGTCGTATTTTGTGTATGTGTTTTCTGGGCTACAAGCAGTGTCAGTTCTATTTTGAAGGAGTGCCAGCATTTTCCTTGAACCTTTGCAGTGTCTTTCTATATTGAAGCTGTACATGCTGGGCTGCATCTGTGTGTATGCAAAACACAGGTGTGCCTCTCAAATTGTGCAAACACCGCCACCTACCATTGTTTAACTAAAAAGGAAGGCAAACACTAATTTCAATTGCGTACAGAACACTGCAGCAAGCCGCAGAAGACGTGTGTTGTGGCAAAAAGGCGCCTGCTCCTCAGTCCGCCTCTTTCATTTTCTCGTTTTTGGGTGTCTTTTTTGAGCTGTTGATGTAGATAAACGTATACGTTCTTTTCTTTTGGGGGAGGTGGGTGTGGCACCTTAAAGTGATAGTTGGATGCGCCTGCGCGTTTGTGTTCTCGTGCAGTGAATATTTTCTAATATAAGTTCAGTTGTAAGTTGAGCATCTTTCCTGTCAAGTGCTTTTCCTTCTACCTTATGCGCTCATATATTTCCACATTAGGGATCAAAGGATTTTTGTACGCCGGCAGTTTTGTTGTCCTCCTGGAGTGTACCCGTGAAATGATTATAGGTATGGACTTCTTCCAAGGAAACAGTGCAATAGTACACTTACAAGAATCTAAAGTTTCGTTTTCTACTGAAAATGCAGTCGCAACGTTCCATGCGGAACAACCAGTGGTTTCACTTCTGTGTATTGTTGACGAATTGTAGTTAAAGAAAACGTTAGACCCGTGCATCAGCGTCCGTACCCACCGTACCGCCATGTCGCTGTGCGACACTCCTTGTGAAAAGCAACGTTTTTCCGTGATTATGATGGGTTAGTAGATGGAAACATCGGACTGCTATTCGAAAAGGAAATATGCGTGGCACGAGGTCTGGTGAACCTTCGTGGTGAATGTGCGGATGTCCTATTGACGAACTTTGGTAGTGAAATACAACACGTGGGGAAGGGGACAGCCATAGCATCCCTGCATGAATATGTGCAAATAGCCGATGCTCGTGTTCTTGATGAAGTCCCGCCAGCCTCTCCAACAGTCGACACCATCCTTCAATCAATAGACATTGACGGAGACCTTTCAACACCACGAGAGCAGTTTGAGAACCTAATCGAAGAATTCGCGCAGTGCTTTTCCACTTCATCGAAAGTTAAACGCACTCTCATCGCGAAGCACCGTATTATAGTTGATTGATTTGATTGATTGATTCATTTGTGGGGTTTAACGTCCCAAAACCACCATATGATTATGAAAGACGCCGTAGTGGAGGACTCCGGAAATTTTGACCACCTGGGGTTCTTTAACGTGCACCCAAATCTGAGCACACGGGCCTACGACATTTCCGTATTGTTGTTGAAAAAAAACGTTAGACCCGTGCATCAGCGTCTATACCTAGTAGCCCCTAAAGAACGGGAAGCGATTAAAAAACAAGTGCAGGAAATGTTGAAGGACGACATAATACAGCCATCCAAGAGTCCGTGGGCATCACCTATGGTACTGGTCAAAAAGGACAACAGCCTGCGATTCTGCGTTGACTACAGAAAACTGAGCCTTGTCACGAAGCGGGATGTTTATTCCTTGCCAAGAATCGACGATACTTTGGGTAGGTTACGCAACGCTAATTTTGTTTCATTGTTGGATTTGAAGAGTGAATACTGGCAAATCGAAGTGGACGATTGATGTTGCGAAAAGACTACTTTCGGAACACTCGAAGGACTCTTTGAGATCAAAGTGCTCCTTTTTGGTTTGTGCTCCGCTCCAGCTACCTTCCAAAAGATAAGACACTGTCCTCTCCTGCCTCAAATGGCAGTCATGCCTCGTCTATCATGATGATGTAGTAGTTTTTTCTTCCACCTTTGAGCACGTGCACTGACTGAGAAGAGTACTGAATGCCATCCGCGCGGCAGCATTGACTATCAAGCCAGAAAAATGGTACTTTGGATTTCGCGAGCTTTGGTTCCTCAGGCACATTGTTAGTGGTGAAGGCAACCGCCCAGATACGGAAAAGATTACAGCAGTTGAAAATTTTCCGAAGCAACAAGATAAAAAAGCCGCCAAACGATTCCTGGGACTCTGTGCCTATTACGGACGCTTCGTCGAAAACTTGGCCAAGATCACTGAACCGTTGACCCGGCTAATAAAAGAAAGTATAGCATTTGTGTGGCGGGAAGAACAAGAAGCTTTCACAGAGTTGCGACATCGTTTGCAGTCTCCCCCTGTACTTGCACATTTTGATGAGGACGTCGACACAGACATTCATACTGATGCGAGAAACGTTGGGCTTGGCGCCATTCTTATTCAATGGCAAAATGGGCAAGAAGAAGTTATCGCATACGCGAGTTGTACACTATCTAATGCTGAGTCCAATTGCTCCGCGATTGAAAAAGAATGTTTCGCCGTCATATGGGCCATCAGCAAGCTCCGCCCATACGAGAGACCTTTTCGAGCAATCATCATTCATTGTGTTGGCTAGTGAACATCAAGGACCCTTCAGGAAGACTAGCTAGATGGAGCCTGCGTCTGCAGGAGCATGATATCGCTGTCATCTACAAGTTCGGCCACAAGCACGACGGCTCAGATTGCCTATTACATGAACCCGTAGAGTCTTCGTCTGATCAAGAACTAGATTACCCCTTTCTTGGAGCTCTGAACGTGTCCGAGATGGCTCGTTTTCAGTGAATGGACCCGGAGTTGCTCCCGCTTATTCGTACTTTGAGGGTCAGCAGATTGAGGCACTAAGAGTTTTCGTCTGTGGATTAATGACCTCCTATGTCCTCCAAAATGACGTACTCTACTAGCGTAACTTCGAGCACAGCGGTGAGACGTTCCTACTTCTCGTATCATCAGCACTGCGAGCAGAAATCGTAGAAGGGTGTCATGATGACCTGACGGCTGGCCATTTGGGTACTAGTCAGACTTTGGCAAGAATCCGCCAGAGATATTATTGGCCGAAATTATGGATTCTGTGCACCACTATGTCAAATCATGCTGAGATTGGCAAAGACTCAAAATACCACCATTTAAACCAATGTGTTTGTTGAAGCCAATAGTCACTAAAAGGACCATTTCAGCAGGTGGGAATGGATTTGCTTGGTCCGTTTCCTGTATCATCATCTGGAAACCACTGGATCATTGTAGCAACAGAATACATGACCAGATATGCTGAAACATCATACTTCGCAAAAGGAACGGCGGGTGAAATAGCCCAGTTTTTCGTCACTCACATCGTACTACCCAGAATCACCTAGAAGTAGTACATGTAGTAGAAGTAGTACATTGTGATATGGCATGCAAATGATGACAGCTTCAAGCAGCTTACCTGATAAAACACTAAAACAACTTCTGCAAACTTTGTTTATTGCACAATGAATTGAGAGGGAAGGAATAAGTGCGCTCTGAGAGGAATTACGCAGGCTGGGCAACGCTGCCTAAATTAAATGGTCGATTCAATTTGGCAGTCGACTGTCCTCAGCATACACCATGTTTGCGTGCTCGTAACCAATGGTCTCTCCTCTCACACGTTGTGAACGAATTCCTCGACGCCGCTGATAAGATGGTGAAAATGTGAAAGCATGAGCAATAGAATAAAACTTGGGTATTCGTCTTTTGAACAATGCGTCCCAGCACGTGCTCACATGGCTTGAGATAAAGAACAAAACACATTGGTTGAGCAGAAGGTGCCAGAAGCTGGGGTGATGCGTTGGCCTGGTTGGACATCAATGAGGCTGGACATTGTCAGTGCTACCTCCACAAAGGACTTCGCAACGACACATCTTCTGGCTCCATCTGTCGAGTCATGGGCCTGTTCTTGTTTCAAGTGGGCTCATGCAGGGAGGTGTCTTCGAAACAGGTGGATTGCTCTTGTACTGGTGCACGTGTTTGCGCGTTTTTGCGGCCGCTTCTTTGTCTTCACAGTGCCGTCGGGACACATCATCACACGCGTGTTCCTCGTGTTGCCACCACAGCAGTGTCACAGATCTATCAAAGCAAGCTTCACCCATTAATGAGGTAGTTACTTGCCTCGCTGTTTGCTCAAAATGGCTATTTTGTCTCGACTGTCTTCAGACGTTTCTAAAGTTAACTAGAGGGGACTGTGGTGCTGTGAACTTTCAGCAACTGTGGAAATGATGGGTAGTACACAAATTTGCCTAGTCTTCGTACTTGAAAACTTCAAATGCACTTGTGCCTTTGTTTATTGCTGTGTTTTGGTTTTATTTTCAATGAAAGAACAAACCATTTTGAACTCTTGCAACCTGATTTGAATCAGGTGAGCTTGAAGTGCAACTGCTGAACATTTGTTTATTTTGTGACAAAACAGCTCCAAGCCACGCCACGCGAAACCGAATAGAGCCAGAAGTACGAAAACTAGGCAAATTCATGTACTACCCATCATTCCCATGCTCGCTAAAGCGCCATGCGGTGCAGCTCCCACAGACATGACGATAGTTATAGCGTGAGAACAAAACGACGAACGTCGTTTTGTGTCCTTCTTGTCTCTGTGTCGTCGTTTTGCTCTCGCGCTATAACTATCGTCATGCCATACCAACTAGCCCAAGCTGCCACACTAGTGCCCAGACACTAGTGCCAGAGTTCCTTCTAGTGTATATATAAAAAACTCTATGTTTGCAAGTGTTATGTTTTAATGGAGGATCGGACTTCTTACTTAGCTGGCAGCTTCTTTAGTGCTCCCCGTCAAGTGTGGTGGTGGAGCGTCTGGAATGCCCATCTCTCATAGCGACTGGGAGAGGCTCACCTACTCGCCGAGGGCTCAGTGCAAACTGGGGCGCGAAGTCTGGCTGGCTGTGACTCCCACTTTTGCTTGTATGAATGTAGCGTCCAGGAGAAGCTATCACGAATGCAGCACATTTTGTTCCTTATAGGAGCCATGACCTGGTATCCCAAGAATTTGTGATTTTCAACAGAAACAAGAAGTGGAAGGTCTGACACACCTACACAGATCAGAAAAGTGGGCCACAAAAGAATGTTTCGATGTGAGACAAGCCAGCCCTAGAAGTCGCCGGTTATAGAACCCGCCCGTAGCCATTTTGCTGTGGTCCGACTGTGACAACATGGGCAGCCAGCTGCTGAGTCATTATCTTCTACCAAAACTTTTTTCAGCCGCTGCAAATCTTATGGCGGAACAGTATTATTTGCTGCAATGCAGATGCTCACACTGCTAACATGCACCTAGCTAGCTGCTTGCCACATCTAGGCTCACATGTGTGCCACTGTTACCCAATTTTCTTCGTTCAGCGAACTAGGAGCGCAGAGAAAACACAAAGGACGAAGCGAGGAACCACACAACACGAGCTGTGGTTCCTCGCTTCGTCCTTTATGTTTTCTCTGCGCTCCTAGTTCGCTGAACGAAGAAAATGAATTACCAACTGGCCCACATTTTGATCCTTTTGCACTGTTACCCAACTCTCGGGCCACTCGTGTGTTTATAAAAATATCGAATTATAAATAAGGGCTCGACCAAATGTGCTAAGCTATTGCAGGCCTAATTTGTGAGTGCACAAGGATGGAACCACATCACACATACTTAGCCACTTTAATACACATGCACACTTGTTACAGTAATTAAAATTACTAGTACAATTGCTGATGCAAAAAAGTTATTGGCAGTCATTCAGAGCTGTTTGTCATGATTCAGCGGCCCGAGAAAGCACGAAGTTAAAATGTGTGCTAGTACACTTTTAGGCAGCTTCAGATTAGCATTTTCAGTGCCTGTCTAATGATTTGACAGGCGCTGGAAATGGTCGTGTGGACTTTTTTTTTTTTTTTTTTTTTTTTGTTGAACCAGCAGAGCTCATCTGCTCTAATGCATGAGTAAGCTGATATTGAATGGCTTGCAAATCTTATTTAGTATAAGAAAATTTCTGTTGTATTTGTTATTCTGCTCCAAATTAGGGATTCTGTGCTTAAGGAGAATTGATACAAATTTTAATTATTTTTGCGTTATTCTAAATAAAAACACTGGTGTTGAGAACCCTAGAAAGGGTCGTAGAGCTTGTGAACCAGTTAAATATATTTTCAATACTGGTACCTTACAATACCAGTTTCGGTTGCAATATGGAGAATGGAGGCTTCACACTGACGTGTCAACTTAAGTCTGACATCATGAGGAAATCGCAAATTTCAAAATACTTGCATCGTCTGCGTCATTTATTGTTAGTCGCATGTGGTTCTCGTAAACAATGATGAGTGAATCGTTGCTCAAAGACTCCGAGAGGAATTTCTGCGATACAGGTTGTATACTAGACGCAGAGCTTGGAAATGCAGTGAACTGTGGGGACTTGTCAGGCGATGTTCTCTGCGATGAGGCCAACTTGCAGATGCCTCGGGACGAAAAGTATACAATCAATGTAAAATGTTGTCTGGCTCCTGTGTGTGGAGAGTGTTGGTAGTGCACAACATGGAAATCGAAAATGTACGCATTGCGGAGACTTAAAATCGTGTCAGTACTCCTTTAAAAGCGCCCTCCAACACTATTCAACCCCCTCTTTTTGCTTGTGGGTGGTGTGGACAAGTTCGGACAAACGAATGGAGGAAGAATGGCAGTAATAATGGAACACAGTCCCGAGTTATCAGATTTAAAGAAATTCAATATACAAAGAAAAAAATGCCTATCCTCAAATTGATTTTCGTGGGTTCACCTGACCGCGTTTCACTTGCCCTGGTGGTCCCGGTAACTTGAGATGGCGGTCCCAAATGAAATGAAACGGTAATTCTGTTGTCAAAATTGTGTTGATGCTTCAGAGATATCATTTGAAGGTTTTAGTAAATCTCTTTTTACAAAACTTTTCCTCACATACACTGTGCCACCTCGTCAGTATAGGTGAGGTATGAATTGACGGGCCATTTTTTGCAACGGCCTCTTCCTACTGCACATGAACAAAGTTTTGTTTCCACGCCACACATCTTTCTGCTTCTCAGTTTTTTCCATTTTTCATGTTTTAGTGGCTTTCTTCAAGCATAACCAACTTGCCGGGCAAGCAACTCTCTTGTCCCTTTTCTTGTTTCATTTAATGGAACAGCTCTTGATGTTACCTGCCGATGGTTGGCTAAAAAAAGCTTTTCTCCTCCTCTGGTGCAGGTCAGAGTATTCAAAGAACGGATAGAAGAAAAGAAAGGCAAGGACTACCCCGCCCACTGCCAAAAACTAATATATGCTGGTAAGTCACCCTTCCATCTGTCTCTTCGCCCATTGTTCAGGACACATGTGTGTCCCCCATGTGGTACCTTGAGTAGGAAAAGTTTCCATTGTTGCTTTTTTCTTGCATTGTATAAAAGGCCAAGCCCTCAATATAAGCTTTATAAAACGAATATACTTTTTTTGGACAAAGAACGTTCCGGAAAAGAGGTTAGGTAAGACAGAGTGCACACTTACAAACCTTTCATTGCTCGGATGGTGAAACTATATATATTTACAATCAAGAGGGCAATTTTAAATGTTTAGCACAAAGAGGAAGTATGTTCCCTTTAAAATATAAATGCACACCAGCCCAAGTAGGCACCCTTTTTAAATATAAACTGGAGTTCAGTCTAAAAAATTGAGTACAACGTGCTTTCAAGAGATGGTATCATTTTCTACTGTACCCTTATGTTGCAACACTATGTGCTCATGCAAGCCATCTTGACGTTTCCTTTTCTGCTATGCTGGGGATGCTCAAGTGGCTGTTTTTTTTTGCATGCTGCTCTGGTATGTGAGGGCATCACGAATGACCACACTGGCGCATTAAGTTGCAACAATTGCTACTGTAATATGGCATGACGATAGTTATAGCGAGAGAACAAAACAGCGACAAAGAAACGAGAAGGTCGTCGTTCTGTTCTTGCGCTATAACTATCTTCATGTCATACCAACTAGTCCAAACCGCCACACTTCTATATTTATTTTTATTTACTTACACTCGTACCCACAGCACCATTTACCGCATTTTCCGGTTTATAAGTCGCACCCTTGTATAAGTCGCACTCCGCTCAAAATAGCAGTTTTTCTGAAAAAAAAAAAAAACGTATATAAGTCGCACAGGTGTAGAAGATGCGCTTGCTCATCCGACCACCGACATTTAAGTATCTCGTCGTGACAATGCATTGCAAAAAATGCATGCTTGCGACGGCCAACGCTTTTGCACGTTTCTAGCTATCGGCAGTCACGCGTGCGAGCGCTTTTAAACACACATGAAAACAATACTTTCAGAAGTACCTTTATTATTCCGATAGCTTGGTGACGTTTATTCAAAGCCATCGAAGTCGTCTTCCTCCGAGTCGCTCACGAACAATGCAGCTACTTCTGGTTGCAGCACTGCTGGCACATCACTGTCGTCCTCCGACTCGCTCGAATCGGACTCTTGAACGTCGCCATCGGCCGCGCAGGGGATCAAACCGGCCTTGCGAAAGCCCGCCACAATGGTCTTCGCAGAAATTGACTCCCAAGCGTCACTCACCCATTTCGCCACTTCGCCGAACTCTGCGCGTTTCATGCGCCCCGTTTTTGTGAAGCTGTGTTCTCTCTCCGACATCCACGTTTCTCACGAACGTCGCAGAACTGCCTTGAAGCTGCGGTTGACAGAAATGTCAAGCGGCTGAAGCATCTTCGTCATGCCGCCGGGAATAATCACTGGCATACATTTCTTTGAACTGATCTTTTTCTTGAAAATATCGGTGATATGTGCCCGCATACTGTCCATTACCAGCATTCCTGGCTTCACAGGAAGAATCCGTCTGGTCGACGGGAAAAACAGCGGTCAAGGCACACACTCATCATTCCCTCGTCCATCCAACCTTTTGTGTTCGCCTGAATCACCACTGTAGGAGGGAAATTGTCCTTCGGCAAGGTTTTCTGCTTAAATATTAGCATGGGAGGCAGCTTTGTGCCGTCCGCGCAGCAGGCGAGCACAACGGTGAAGTGGGACTTCTCGTGGCCTGTTGTCCTCACCGTGACAGTTTTCTGGCCTTTTTCGGCGATGCTTCTCCCAAGCTGGATGTCGAATGTCAGCGGCACTTCATCCATGTTAACGATGTGGCTCGCGCTGACATTCTTCTTCGCAACTTCCTCCCTCACGAGTGAGCTGAAGTTGTCCAGTTGCGCCTGAAAGTCGTCGGGCAGCTTCTGGCACACTGTCGTCGGGGCTCTCATAACCAGCTGATTCCGTCGCATAAAGTGGAAACACCACGTCGGACCACCATTGAATCCCGTAACATTGCTCTCCGCTGCCAGAGCCTTCGCCTTCAGGCGCAGCTGCACTGTTGACAGCCCTCTTCCTTCGGCTCGTTGTTGCAGTACCCATGTGCGGAGGCTACGCTCGAGGTCCGGCCAGCGCGCCTTCTTGCCGCGGTTGGCCTTCTTTGTCGACTTCATCGTCCGGAGGACGCTGTGGGCTTTGCTCCAGTCACGGATTATTTTTTCACTGACGTCGAATTGCCTCCCTGCGTCTCTGTTCCCATGGTTTTCGGCAAATTCAACAGCGCGCAGCTTGAACTTGGCGTCACAGCTTCGCCGACTTTGCTTTCCAAGCGGCGCCATGGTTCGCAAGGTTCTATGGCGCTACCGGCTCTATGCTACGACGCACAACACAACACACGAGACGCACGCAGCAACAGCGACACAGCGAGTGCAATGAAGACGTTATGGCGGACGGAAGTGACGGTAAAGAAAGTGGCTCTGAACTCCAAACTTGCTTTCCATAATTTATAATTTAAAAATACCTCCACATTTTCACCCCTCTGATTATTTTTTTGTGCAAAACTACATAGCTGCGTTATCTTTAGGGTGTTAACTTACCGTTAATCTTACTTTCTTTTTAAATGTGGTTTCTGTGCATCGCAGAAGGCGGTGAAGCGCCGTAGACGCCATTTTGATGCCCGCTTGACGTAAACAGCGCCACGCAAGCTGTGGCATCCAACTCGATTTTGAATGTATATAAGTCGCATCGTTGTATAAGACGCACCCACGAAAAATTCAGAAAAAAACCGCGACTTATACACCGAAAAATACGGTAGGCATTACAGTAGGGGGGGGGGGGGGTTACACAGAGAATTTATAAATCATACATTTCAAAAACATAGGTAGTGAAAAAATAAGGAGAAATAGCGGCATGCATTGTTGTCAATACACATGAATTTCATAAAGATCTATGTAACATGTCATTGCGCTAGTGTCAATTTGAGTTTTTGCATTCATGCATAAGTTGCAGGGGCGTCACCAGACATTTTTTGGGGGGGGGGCACAGGCTGCAGCTTTTCTCTGTGATGTCGCTATCGGCGGCAGTTTGAACAGATGGTGCACATGTATATCAAGTCATGAGATGCCCCCTCTCCCCATGTGCTTCGTGTGGAAAGAGTAAGTAAAAGTATTGTAAGAATGATTGATTGATTGGGGGTCTAACTTCCCAAAACCACCATATGATTATGAGAGATGCCGTAGTGCAGGGATCCAGAAATTTAGACTACCTCGGGTTCTTTAACGTGCACTCGAATCTGAGCACCCAAACCTGAGCCTACAGCATTTTCGCCTCCATCGAAAATGCAGGCACTGCAGCCAAGATTCGATCCCAAAACCTGCTGGTTAGCAGTCGAGTACCTTAGCCACTAGATCACGGCGGCGGGGCAGTACTGTAAGAAGTATTCTGAATCGGCCGTGATCGGCCGCCCACAAGCGGCGTAGAGCGGTAGGCCAACAAGCTTAACCAAAAGTATTCGTGCGAATCTTCACTTTTCTTGAGGAGGGGTTTCACGATCTGTACTCCTTTCTCAGCCAGACCATTTGACTGTGGGAAGTGCGGACTTGATGTGACATGAGCGAAGTCGTATTTTCTTGCGAATTCTGTGGACTCGTAATTTGCAAACTGCGGCCCATTGTCCGTGCATACTTCCAGAGGCGCGCCGTACCTAGCAAACATAGCACTCAGTGCTGCAATTGTTCTTCTTGCAGTGGTGTCATGATCAGAGCTTCTGGACTTCCAGGAAGTTTGAAAACGCGTCGAACGCCACGACATACGAACTTCCTCCAAGCGAAAAAATGTCCACGCCCACGCGGATCCATGCGCATACTGGTACTGGGCGCATGAGAAATGGTTTTTTCAGTTGCTTGTAAGAAAACTTGCAACAAGTAGGGCAGCTCTGAATCAGCAGCGTGATGTCATTGCTGAGCTGAGGCCAAAAAACCAGGCGTCGTGCTGTTTCTTTGCATTTCTGCAACCCTAGGTGCCCGGCATGAATACGTCCAAGAATTTCAAATCTCATGCTTTTTGGTATGACCACTTTCGTTCCTTTTAGCAATACGCCCTTCACGACAGAAAGCTCTGACAAAAACGGCTTCACCCTGCAGGTTCTCACCGCTTGACAAGCTGGCAATGACAGTGCTCAGGTAACCATCATTCGCAGTTTCTTGCTCCAGCTTCCATCGCGTCGCATCTGTGACCAAATAGCCCAGAACTTGCACTGCGTGCACCTCCACGTCGCCCACGGCTCCAGCGCTGTCCTCGGAACTAGCCGGGCATGATCTTGACAGCATGTCGGCCAAGACGAGATGTTTGCCCGGTACGAACTGCAAACAGAAATCATATTTCAGAAGCCTTAGAAAAAATCTCTGAAGGCGGGGAGGCATGTCACTGATACCCTTCACAGCAATAGATAAGAGCGGTTTATGGTCAGTCTCAATCAAAACTTTGTGCCCTTACACGAAGTGGTGAAACTTGTCGCAGCCGAACGAAATGCTGAGCGTTTCCTTCTCAATCTGCGCATAGCGCTGCTCAGCTTGCGTTAGAGCACGGGAAGCCTATGCCACTGGGCGCCACTCATCACCATCGTAGCACTGAAAGAGTGCTGCACCAATGCCGTGTTTTGATGAATCGCATGTGTGAAGAAGAAGAGGTGCCTGCAGCAAGCAGCATCGCCAAAGCCCGGCTCTCTCGGCTCGTGCTTCGGTTCGTTGCTGTGCCGATCGCTGGACGGTTCTTCACGCTGTCTCGTCGCTGTCTTTAACGGCTAATAAACCTCCTCACATTTGGTGGAAGGTGCTGTTAATCCCCGTTGCTACACCCTGGAACTGCGAAGCCGCCCGCTACTACCTGTCATCACTGACAACGCCACTACATCGACGCCTTCGCCCCAGTTCAACTGCCCTCCATCCTAGGCTACGGGACCCGAAGGTCTTCAGCGGTGCGGATAG